TGAAATGCTGGTTATTTTTCTCTGGGGCTATGAAGCAACACCACTGTTTAGAGAAACGGCTTTAATCACTTAATCACATTTCAGAGCTCCAGTTTCCAATTTTTTAACTACTACTAATCATGAAATCTAAAGCTAAGTATGTGTTTTACCCCTATCTAGAAGTTTGTACACAAGTATCGTTTACCTTTCCTCCACTCACAGAAGGTCAGACTATGGCACAGACAGTTTGTAGTCCTGCTGGTGACGAAGGAACTAGAATGCAACTAATGCATAGGTAGGACCACAGACTGAAGCCTTCAGATGTGTCTTATATTAAGTCATTCATACACTTGGCAAAAGCAAGTACATTTCAAAATGCATGCATTAACAAGGAGAGGCGTAGGTCTGACGAGCCAATTTTGCTACAGACTTTTGACAGACCAACTCTTCCTTTAAGGGATGTGTACTTTCCAGGTCCATAAAGAGCTCCCCCAGAAGAACATCAAGATAATTTCGGCTAAGGTAATGAGCAAATCTCCTGAACAATTATTCATAGGGAGATACAAAGTCATCAAAAAAACCATACACTAGTGGACATCTCTCCAGCAGACAGGAAAAGATGAAGTACTCTGACATTGCTCGCTTCTACTAAAACTTAGTCACTACACAGTTTGAAGAGAAAATTAGTCACAAATCAGAAAAAGTTCATCTCAGCCATCATTTTCTTTCAGTTCTCCTGGTTTCTGTAAAGCCACTTACAAAGTGACTCTTCAGAAATGAAAGACAGAAAGACTACTCCAACTGACTATTGTCACTTAAATGGTAAAATACTTTACTGAAGCCTTTTAGGGGAGGGGTAAAAAGCAGGCTGGAATACAAAGGTTAATTCCTTCTACAAGCAAAGCAAGGCACTGTCACCAAGGCAATTTCCCTAATGACTAACTTAGAGCTCTCAAGATTTTCACCGATTCTTGGACTGAAACACGTTTGATACCTATGGCAGACAACCAGTCCTTGAAAAGCAAGAGTTCTCATTTTCCACTTCGAGGAACAGAGTTTGTTTTTACTGAGACACGTTGACAATAATTCCTCTCAGTTCAAGCAAAACTGCACTGGGAACTACAGTCCCTTGCTAGGACTTTGGCTCAAGATTCTATTTTGACACTGATAAAGCTGCATGTACATGAGCAACATACAGAAATCAGTTCACTAGGGCAGCTGGGTAACTTTAGCAAAGTTGGAAGAACAGTTTTCGACAAGCACAAGACTGGAAATTGCCTGACATCATCTGCTCTGTGCTGGTTTCACTAACCCAGCACAAAAGACGCTTCTCCTCTGAAGGCAAAAGACTGCAGCCTCAAAGCCCACAACTCAAATCATGCTCAATCTTGACCTGCTAGCAACTGAAAAGAGACTTCAGAAGGCAAAGAAGCTTTGAGACCTTCAAGTAAATGCTTTTCAACTCACGGAACAAAGGCTCTATGTCTATGAATTGAGAAGGAAGTGAGAGAACTGATCATAACAGATCTTGACAGCCCGTACTTATTCTTCCTTCAATTCAGGAACGCTTGGGGGACACAAATGACAAACTTTCTTTCCTTGCTCTAGAATCAAAGAAAAGAAAAATCTTCAAGAACAATGCTCCTTGCCCTTCTGGTCTGAAAGAAAACAGAATGCACAGATGTCTCACAGAACAATAAAACCTTAACAAAATTCAGCACTAGCTACACCTCTACTGGTAAATAAAACAAAGCCAGGAAACAACCTCAGGCACAGGACCACAGATCACTCACCCTGCTTACTCCTTAGCACTGCTTATTCCCTGGCACAGGTCTGGTCCATGACTACCAGCAGGCCAGAACAACAGGGCATGATTCAGGGAACAGCATGCAGCAGAGACCACTCCCAGTGGTCAGCATGGATAATATGGCATCAGATTAGTTTCCCTTTATCTCAAAGCCTTGCACCTGACAAGAACCTCTTCAGGACCTCATGCCACAACCCAAGGGCATGCAACATACACTCCCAGCTGATATTATGAAAATACCACTCTGGTAAGCTGCAACACAGCCCCCTGAGACGTTGAACAACAACCACCACCCAAATACAACCACATCCTTACAAAAACAACTGACATGGGGTACAGCCTCAAGGGCACCACGAGGAGCTCAGAGACCCCAGGCCTAGGTTGCACAGCACGGATGTGGTCAGTCTGAGCCATTTCGCCTTCTATTCAGGGGACAGTCCTTGGTCTATTATATAGGCATAGCCAATGTTCTCCTTAAGAAGGGCAGCTCCATAACAAGGTAACGTGTTTTATTTCCAGCTTCTCACTGACTGCATTACCCCAGACAAAGCTGGATTCTGGGACACAGTGAAACAATCTCAGGGGAGACTGAAGCTGTAGGATGAAAAGGGAAGAAAGAATAGCACGAAGACTTGAAGATGTACTTTCGTTTGCTGTGGCTGAACAATGGAAGGACCGCAAAATTAAACAGACAAATGAAGACAGACAGATCAGATGTTTAAGAGACTGGACTGGATCTGTAATCAATACCTTACTCCACTGCAGACTTCCTGTGACAGCTTGGTCAAATCATCTAATCTCATTTAAATCACCAATGAAATTTGAAATCTAGGAGAATCATTTTCTATGGTACTGCCAAAGAAGGTATTTCATATTCCAGTAGAAAAGTGATATGCACTCAAAGAACTTTCTTCAGAAAATTACAGATACAGCGAATTAATTCAAAAAAGCTTAACTTTCAACAAAGCAAAGCAACACGGAGGTTTGAAAGGAAACTGTTCACAACTTGAGGCACCTGCTGAAGCACTACTGCAGTTTTCCAGGTATTTTTCCATCTTCTGTAGATTTCATCTATCAGTTATGACACTCCTGTACCTGTTTCTTAGTTTCTAAGCGCCCTGCCTAGGCAGGGCAAGAGACAATATGACACCCTACTATTTAAACATGATTATATCTGTATCACTGGGCCTTCAGCATACATCCTCCTTCCCTCCGAAGAAAGAATTACTGAAGTTTAACTTACTTGTTACAGACTGTACACTTGCTTCCAATTTGTTGCTTACAACAGAATTCAAAAACTGCAGAAAAATCATACAGCAACTATACAGTCTTACTTTCATGTGCAAATCAATGCTTCAACAATAACTATTTGGACAAACTACAGCTAAGTACCACTAACAGTGGTAAACAATAAATTTTAGTTTGCTTGCTTACTATAACTTTCTTGACATCTGTCCATTTTGACTGACAGTGTAATAAAATGCAGAAGAATAAAACTTCGCTTTAGAAAGGCATTAGCTTGCTCTTAACTGATCAGATACTGTTCCGATACTGATCGGAACTAGATTCTAAAGGCTACAAACACTGCTCTATATAAACCACTCACACCTGAGTGGTGAGAGGAAAAATGGTAAAAATCTAATAATTTAAAGTGATTCTTAAACAGCGGCAAGCCCTTGCCTATTACGAGCTTATGTATTCTAATTTATATTTCTTTGTCAACATTTCAGGCTTTGCTCCTCACTGTGGGATAGTTCATGGATTATTACCTTTTATCACTATCTACGTTTTAAGTTTTGGTTTTTTTTTTAAATCCTTTTCCCTGCTTCATAAAGACGAAAAAAAAAAAAAAAGTCTATCAACACTTCTAGTAGCTCCTGGTTGGTACCTAACATTGAAGTGAAAAAAGTGCAGAAAATGTGCCAAGAAGTAAAAGCAGTTAACACAACTTTCCTCCCTGGTAGGAACCTATCATTAAAAACAAAAACTGTAAAAAATTTCTTCTTCAGATGTCGAAATAAAAAAGTTTGGGCCCCTATATAAGAACTAATGCGGCTTGAAAAAGGTATAGTCACCAAGAAGAGCAGAAATCTTATTAATTCACCATTATAACATGAATTTGTTTATACTTACACACATTAACCTCAAGAATAAGGCTTAAGTGAAGTCTAGATTTGAGTTTAAGTAACTTCAGGAGGATGCTGAAAAATTTCAAGTTCAACGATAAATTTTCCTAGCATTTTTACCATTTTTCTAAAAACACATGAACCCTAGAGTTAGAGTACTAGCAGTACAAGCTGCTACTGTTTTTTTTTTCTATTTAATTAAAAGAAATAGATCACATTAATGAGCTGCAAAGACAGTAACTACTTCCTAAACTAGGCATAAGGCTCAAGGGCAAAGTATCCAAAGCATGCTCCTGAGCAACGTGGAAGACTAAGGTATTAGTTGCTTTTAACTGTTTTAAAAACAAACAAATATTATATTCCTGTGGCTGATAAAGAAGTTGTATATCTCTCGCTGTATAGTATCAGAAAATTAAAAATAATTGCATTAAAAAAGTTATGGTTAAATGTATTGCGAAAACAGACAAATATCGTGAAAGCAATATGCAAAAACCAAGACTTGCAAGAAAGAAATGACTTCTAGGACAAAGAAAAGAGATCATATTACGTTGGTCATTTAAAAGGCATTTGCTTCGCTTAACTTTTGAAAATGACAACACAAAAAGAATACCAAAGAGACTCACGGTGTTCAGAGCTGAATAATGAAATAGAGAAGCAGTAGCTGCTAGTACTAACACGTTTTTAACGCAGAGTGGTGGAGCAGATAAATTTTCATCCACAAGAGTATGGGAATAATAAACTGGTACAATAAATAATAATAAATAAAGACAATGCGGAATATATCCTTCTAAGCAATAAAACTTACAGAACATACCAAAAACCAAAAGATAATCAATTGTCAACAGCGTAAGCTGCTGCTAAAATTTTCACGTAATGGATCAAGGATTACCCAATAAGAACACTATTTTTAGACCAAACAGAATATTTGATTTTTTAATGCTTCTTTCACGTGTCTTTTCACACCTATATATCAATCTTAATTCCTAACACCTTGTTCTTGCTCTCTAAGCACATAAGCCTTAGTACTTTTTGATGCGTGAAGTTTGAAACTGAAGTATGTTCCCCGCAAGATACAGCGGAAGTCTTACCAAATCAGCACCAGCTTGAAGCAACACATCTGCAACATCAGTATGTCCATTTTCACAGGCATAGGTCAAAGCTGTATCTCCTGTTGCTGTGGTGGCATGAACATTAGCTCCTAGAAACACAATATTAGTTATTTCTCATTGGACTTCTCCTTATGAAATACTGCGTATCAGATAAATACAAAATCCAGGGACTTTCCAGGCATGACAACAGTTATGTCCCATGGACCCACAGCTTCCAAAGCCCAAAGGCATCGCTCTCATGGTAAAAATGCTCCAAAGAGAAGGGATAAACCAAGGCCTGGAAAAGTCATGACCTATATGCTCACTTATTCCTAGTTTCCCTCTACGGCAATGAAAATTTCAATTGTTATGACAAACAAACATGAATCCAGACAGTTGTCTGGACTATCCATTTGACAGGGAGCTGCATGCCAAGGAAAATCAGCTGAAATATATTTTATTAGATGAGTATTAATACTACAAGACCATACACTACTACATATTTCACCTCTTCCCTGCTCTTTAAAACCATTTGATGTTGAAATAATGACTAGCTTCATATATGCCAACTACATGAAATCTATGCATGTCTCTTAGTATCTAACGTATTCTTCTTCTACAAAAAACGTCCATGTGATTAGCCATTTTCTTATTTTCAAAGTCTGAGATTATATATAGAGGACTCACTGATGGTAAAACAAGGCTCCTCAATTAACTACACTATCAGCAGAACTGAAGTGCAAGCAGAGTTACAAGTGAGCCGGCGACTGGTGTCACATGCCGGTATCATTGCATAAAGACACAGTTGTTACTGTCTCTCGATGAGCAATGAATATTACTTTGTAGAATTACAAAATCAGCCTCTTTTATGTTTGTTCTTAGGAAAAAAAGTAAACCAAAAAAAATCACTTCGCATTACAAGGAAAACTTCCAAAATGCAGTTCCTCTTCTCCCCTTTAAAAAAAAAAAAAGTTTCACTATAATTGAGTCTCTACCAACTTCAAAACTGACAGATGAACACTAAAGTGTCATTTCTCCCCCAACTCCAGCAGGAGTATTTAACTTTATACTACTATAAAGAAACTCAGCACGTTCCAGAATCTGTCTTGCACACTGTTTCCCTGGGCCCAATTCCTAAAGTACTGGTTATTCACGGAGAGTATCTGTCTGCAGTTAATAAGACTCAGTCAAAACAGGAGTAACATATAAAAACAAGTATTGTCCGTACTAACATTTTGTCCTAAATGCAGTTAGCTGGAAACAATGTTCCTAATGAATGGTGATGTTTCTGGGAGATGAAACAGAATCCAGTGCTCTATAAGGCTCTTTCTTTCTGTTAACAGTATCAAACAATGCTAACATGGAACATACAATTTTTTTGTTCTTGTTAAGTCCATGAGGATACAGTTTCTTGTTACAATACCACAATCATCCAGTATCTGCTAAATCACATAGAACATTGATGAACACTGTCTGTGGGTCAGATCACTCATATTGTACACATACCTGCTGCCAGCAAGTATTTCACCAATTCAAGATGACCCTCTTGAGCAGCTTCCATCAAAGGTGTTGAGCAACCGAGTTCTATATCAGCTCCTGCCTTAATAAGGAAGTCGGCCACTTCAGAAAACCCTCCACAACATGCCAGAGTAAGAGCAGTTTCTTGTGTTTCTTCTGTCTGTGCGTTTATATTTGCCCCTGGGAAACAAAACAGCTGTTAATTTAACTGGCCAGACACAGGGTGGGAAAGTGAATGCTTATCACCTCTGTAATTTAGGTGCTCTAGCTTTGTTCTGTAATTGCAGCAGTAAGCTGTGACAACCACATGCTAAATCATAAGAGTTTGCGCTCTACAGAACACTTAACAAAAGAACAGTCAACACTGCATCCTTCTTGGTGAACACTGAAGAAATTAAACTCTTACTACTCCGTGATCTCACCTTGTGCCAATAACAAGGCCACCATCTCCTCATGGCCTTCTCGAGCAGCTTCCATTAGAGGAGTGTAACCTTCATCATTAACTTCCTCCAGGTTTGCTCCCCTTTCTATCAGGAGAGCCGCTAGCTCTACATGTCCACCACAAGCAGCCAGAGTGAGTGGGGATTCAAAGGAATCTGCAGGCATATTCACTTGAGCACCACTGTCTAAGAGCAAGCGAGCTACTTCTACATGTCCATCCTACAAAGCAGAAGTGAAAAACACAAAAATCAGATACACTAAGTCATTAAATACAGTAATTACAATTACTGTTGTACTAGATCTGAAAGCGATTTAGAAGATTTTTGTTTTGTTATGGTGGTTCCATTTATGACAATTATGACAGCATTGGGATTAAACTGACATTTAGATTTCCACATACATTTTGCTAGATTTAAAAACATCAGAAACAAAAGCTAGATTTTTTTTTTCTTTTTTTTTTTTTTTTGGGGGGGGGGGAGTGGACTTTCTTAAATATCTAACAAAACATCTGGGATACAAGAATAATATAAATAGCAAACAAGTACCATAAACAGATGCACTGCATGACTAACTCCTAAAACAAGTACCGGAAGAAAAACTTTCTTTTTCTTCATAACTGATTCATGGCTTCTACAGACAAACAGCTCCAACAGATAGATGCCAGATCCTGGGAAAGGTGGAGCGATTAGAGAAACTGAAATAGGTTACAGTGAGGTAGGAAAAAGGAGAGGAGACTAGAATAAATCAAAAGTTTCTTGGGGTGAATGAATCTTTGCCATAGAGGGAAGAGAACTAGGATTACCACACAAGTCCATTTGAGCCCTTTCGAAAAACATACAAACGTAGCTGTTCACTTCTCAATAAACTTTCACTATACTGCTGGACATTGCTTGGAAGAGAAAGCGTACCAAAAATTCACGGATCACCTAAGACAATCTGTAGAGCGCCACAATACTTTTGGGAAAGGAAAACGGGCAAAGAGGTTTTGATATTAGGAAAGAAGAAACACTCACTTTGATTTGGCAACATCAGCACAGCTTTGTTTCCCGATAGAGTGGTTCTCCAGAGATTTGATAGTTAACCTGGATTAATTCCTTAAACTAGTCCCAACATGTGCTGACCAGATATTCCCAGTGAAGTAAGAGCATTTTTCCCCACAAGAAGCCATAAAAAAGCCCAACTACAGGAGCAAACAGCAGATATATTTATGTTAATTTCTTGAAGAAAATCTAAATAAAGTTGGGTAACCTCAAAGGGCAGAAAATATATTAGAAGACCTCCTCTTCGCAGATCGGAGCCAGACTTGCGTGGGCTAGGGCAAAGATACCTAGTAATGATCAAAAAGTAGAATTCTCCGTCATATCACAGATTAATTGCCAAAGTCTGACAACTTCTCATCTATTAAGAACAGCATTCTCAAGCAAACTTCTTCCCCCTTCTGACCTCATTGGAATTGTCAGCCAGTAACTCAAACAACTAAGAGCTGTAGGAAGGGGCCAAGTGGAACATCAGACAGGCAAGTCCTGCCAAAGCTTGTCCCAGTTAAACGACTGTGAAGCAGGTAGTAGATAACCTGAGACTTGACAACACCCATGTCCGTAAATTACGGACGCAGGCTGTTGTTCTTGGAGAAGCTAGCCAAAAGATAACAACAAGCTCATCTAACTAAGGCTAGTGTGTTAGTCACAGCACTCCAACTTGACCAAAACACAGTACTGAAACTCTCAGAGACACTTACAACCTAATCAATGAACAGAGACCAGACATCTCATCTTCCTGTTATGTCCTTGCAGCATTCACCGGTCAGAAAACAATGAAGACTGGCAAAAGTCACAATAGTGTGCTACAGTGATTCCCTTCTGGAATGGTGCAGCCAAAAGATAATGGCAAGGAACAAACTCCATCACTAGGCTTGGAGTTGGGACTTTGAGGGATGAGTTTTCTCTCTAGTGCTTTTGAAACACACTGAGAACACACACTAAGTAATGTAAACCGGTCTGAAATACCCCAAAGCTAACAATGTGCAGGAGATCTACACAACTTTATTCTTCCCCAAGGAAGATAACAGTCTGAGCTATGAAGCATCATGCTGAAAGTGGAAAGGTGACCAAATCTTAAACAGAACAGAGCGGGCAGATTAAATCATTCAGTTTGCAGTCAAGCTGCAATCTCCTTTAGTTGACAGCACATATCCACCATTATGCCCTTCTGAATCACATATTGACACTAGGCTCTCATACAGGGAAGAACACTCAAGGATACTACTACCATCTCACTTATCAGAAGACTTCAAACCAGCCTGAGAAGTTATGATCTGACCTTGGTACTCACATCATTACCTCACAACTGCACTAAAAGGATATTTGAGCCTTCAGCTCTCAGAAGGCTAGTGAAACACTACAGCTCATCTACTAAGGAGTACATAGGCTACCAGGAGCAAATTAAGCTTTCCTCCACTGTGCTTCCTATGAAAACAAAATCCTTGTTTTTTTCTCCAAGAAGTTCCACAGCTTGAAGAATAGGTAAGAGATCACCTAATGCTCTGGACAAAAACAAACTGTTACAAATATGCTCTGATGCAACAGAACACTCACTATTAAGATGAAGCTCTTGGAAAGAGAGGGTTCCCCCCCCCCCCCCCCCCCATGGCTGCTTTGAAATTATATGAATTGCCCAGGAATTAACTAAACTACTTTTGATCTACGTTTTATTTTTGAAAGAAGAAAACTCACAGTACCATTTATATCTAAAATATACATATTTCCTGCATGGTGAAGGGATACATGCAATGCATTAGTCATTCAGTTCAATGCACTTCTGGAAGGCTCATACCTTCCAGATTTTAATCTGCAAGACCTTACTTAGACCGGTTAGTTTCCCACCTCTGCCTTTATAAACTGCAAAAGAAAAGGTGACTTGCACTCAACCTATTATCCTATGGCACTGCAAATTAGCTACTCCTACACTTCACATAGAGAACACTTAAAACAACACATGGCACACCTAAAAGTTAGAATAATTCTTCCCTATGGCCAATTAGAGGCTTAGAAGCTGGCTACTTGTGGCAGTTAACTAAAACAATGGCTTTCTTATGATAACCAAAATATTCTGCATCTGCAGACAGAAGACAGCTTGTTAACAAAGACTCACTTTATCATCCCCTTTACTCCTCTCACTGGAAAGGAAGCAGTACAAATAAAAGCTATTTACCATGCAGGCCTCCATTAGTGCTGTGTGCATCTCATCTGTTTTGTGTTCTTGATCAGCTCCAGCCTCAAGCAAAAAACGAACCATATCTAAATGGCCTTCAAATGAAAGAAATCAAAACAAATAAGCGTTTAATATTACAGGTTTTTAGTAGTACAGAAAAACATCTAATGTTGCTCATTTAGATATCCATAGTTTGCCATTACAATTTGAACAAATTTTGATTTGTTTTTGAAATACTAAGCTGTTTTTAAAATACTAAAACAAATACCAATGCAAAATGGACAGTCAACCTTAAGATAACGATCTCCCCCAAACATACTGCCCTATGATGAAATGACAATACACCTCTCACTAATTCAAACTCATACAACAGGAACCTTTCCTTGAGACTTCAAGCTATTACACAAAACAAAACAAACAAGAAACAAACAAACCCATACACGTGTTCATTCTTTTTTCAGCTGTATATTGACATATGATTTGTGTGTCCCAAGTAGCATATATTTACAATTTGTAAGTGTCCCCCAAAATTATACTGAAAAAAAAGTATTCCGTAATAAATAATGGCACTTTTTCCCCATCAGGAATTCCAGTAACCTCTGTTGCAACTTCACACTGTCCTAATGATTAATAGAGATGTTTTCAAAACAATAAGATAGCCGTTGAGGGAAACACAAATGACATGGCTGACTGTTGGGTGGGGGTCAGCAGGTGGTAGGAAAGGAAGAAGAGGAGGGAGGTGGCATCAAAGCACAAGTTTGGACACACCCAGCCACAAATTTCATATCCAATTTGTTAACATACGTCCAAATGTGGTGGACAAATGGTATCCATGTGGCCAGAAAGTCAATTAAAAGGACTGACATCTTAAAAGAAAACAGTTTTGTTGTTAGAATAATACCCACCCTAGTGCACAGGCTTAGTGCCATTGCACCAAGAATAAATATTTCCTGACATGGAGTTGAAAACCAACTAAATCTAGCATTCCAAAACAGTTAAGAAAAAGTTCAGTCAAGGTTTGCCTGGAAACTTCAGTTAGACAAACACTACCAAAGCTGGAAATAAATTTCAACAAAGACACAAAAGAAGGCAAGAGACAAGAGTTTCTTCAAACAATCATTTCGGTACCATACCTTTGTAGCATGCAAGTGTAAGTGCACTTTCTTTGAACTCGTTGGAGTGAGTATTGATTCCTGCACCGTATTCCAGCAATACTCTTGCAACCTCAACATGACCTGCACTAGCTGCTTCCATTAAGGGGGTATGCCCATTCTCATTGTGGTCTTCTATATTAGCACCTGCTTTCAATAGCACCTTCACTATGTCAACAAATCCCCCAGCACAGGCATAGGTGAGTGCTGTGTTCCCTGTGGAAGAGAAGTATATATTAAAGTCCTCTCCATCACTCACCCCAAACACACAAAAGGAAGTCAGAGTTTAAAAAACAAACAAACAAAAAAAACCTCTAAACCAAATCAAGTGTTTAGCAGCAACAGCAGCCTTTTACCTGACAGTTATGTTACTCTAGCCAATAATTATTTCAGGTTGGGTATAGAACTCTTTCACGTTCTAGTTGTGATGGAATTTTAATACTAGAGTCAATATTAAAAAAAAAAAAAAAAATTTGTCTTGTTTCCTACTTCAGCACAGAAACAGGACAAAAGACTTCAATGAATAATTTTCGTCCTCAGTGTAGAAGCATTTTTTGTTGAAGTGCTCTGTGAGCTCTTGAAAGGCTTTTATTGGCTGGATGAAAATAAACTATTACATTTTAAAACATGGGTTCTGAAAATGATAGAGAATCACATATGGCTCATTTTAATTTCTACAGTCAATTTTAAGCTATTTTGTAGTCAGCTACTTTAATTAATATAACTAAGCATCAGGACAAAAAGCACATTGCAAAATTCAAACATCTGACACTTAAAAATTGAACAATGATTGAATCGTATCTTAAGATCAGAAAAACTAAACTGCAGGTTTCAGCAAGGTTAGTTACAGTTACTGATCAAAGAGTTGTCCCTTTTCAGTAAAAAGCCATATACCAAAAGAACTGGTCTTGACCAAATGCCTTCCGAGGGCTTCTTATTAGGCAATTTTGAATTACATGAACGAGAATAGCTAAGCTTCATGTACTTTCATGGTCATCTTACATACAGTGCTTTTCAGAAGAATAATGCTTTTCTTTACAGTTAATATTAAGAGCTATCATAAGAACCTTATTTGATCATGATTAAGCACAACTATCTGACCTACTGTTAAGTTCCTGTCATATCTTTTTATAAATAAAACTATCAAACACTTAAAAAATTAAAAAATACTTAGATGTTCACAACAGTTGCATGTGGTTTACACGCTAGTATTGCTAATTTCTCCAGTTCCTGCTCCCCAGTTACCTGTTGAAGACTGGGCGTTGACATCTGCACAATGAACAAGGAGAAGTTTAACAATATCTACATAGCCTCCACTGGCAGCTGCTTTTAAGGGAGTTATGTCTCCTTTATTCCCTCGATCTTCAACATTTGCATGCATTGCTAGTAGCACCTGAAAAAAAAAAGTTCACTTTAATGAATAAATTACAACACAAAAATTTTGCTTCTGGTTCAAAGGGGTCAAAGAATGATTCCTCAGTCAGCCATCGCACCCCCTTGCAGTAATACCCCCAGTAGTGAAGAAGAATGGTCCTCTCCAGGACCATTTATAATTACTACCTGGACTATGCTCTGCTTTAGGAAATGCTGTTTTTCTAGATCATTTGCTCATAACTGTTAAAGCTAACGTTAAGTTACAGTGTCAAATGTCACAGGGCAATTCACTAACTAGAAGGATAACAGAGACACGACAAACTTGCACTAATGACCACAGCACAGACTGGTTTAAGCCTAAAAGTATGCAGTTTTCTTCCTGTACACTCCCCTGGCATAGAAACTTCCAGCTGGGCACTTTCTGAGAAACATTACAAGCATCTTCAAAGAAGCACAAATTGTGCTCTTTGACATACAAGCATAAAGGCAGTCTCAAAATTAATGCACTGTTGATATAAACGTGATTCAAAAAACAAACAAATTGATTTTGAATGATTGAGACATGAGTTAAAGTATATAATCACTTGCGTGTTTTTTTTTTTCCTCCCCCTCACCACTAGTTTAGATCCTTTTGCAACGTCTGCTTGGCAGAACAGCTTGACTACCCTAGAACAATGCCAGAAAAGCAGAGAGATATTATAAAAATGAGATCCGTTCTTCAAACTAGTCCCTTAAACATAAAGGCATAAGATGGCATATTCCATTAAAGATGATGGCTGATAATACAGTTTATTTTATTATGGGTTACCGTTAACTAAGGTTCCAGTTTAGATAAAACTTATTTTAACCAGAACAGCTAAAATCTTCAGCTATTAAAGAATCCCCTTACACAATATTTCATAAAGGTTTAGTTGTGACTATATTTGTTACTTACTTGTGCCAATTCATAATACCCAGCTGAACAGGCCAAGCAAAGGAGACTCTCCCCTTCTTCAGTATGTTCATTTACACTTCTTCCTTCATCCAGCAGCTTCCGGACAGCATTTACATCCCCATCTGAGCATGCTTCTGCCAAACTGCGACTGGAAAAATCAGTAACCACAAAATAAGCTCAAAATAAATCTGCAGTAGATGGGTAGCTTCCTTACACAAGAAGCAAGTCTCTACTTCAACATTCATAGCTTGACTACAAAGCCTTAATAGAAAACACATCTTGAAGAATTTTTTTCAAAGTACATACATAAAAAGATGCACAAGATGCACCATCTGTATGAGAGATATGCCTATTTCACAAGAAATAATGACCTTGTGCTCATGTCTAAATTAGCTCCTATTCTCATTACCTACTAACTTTGATAATAAGCTCTCACGCAGATTCTTAGTGCAGAAAAGAGCATTCAAACCTAGGCAATTTGTAGTATTTGCAAAATACAGAAGTAAACTTCACTAATGCTATACATAGCCTGTGTGCATGTGGCACTCCACCAACAAGCTACGACCATGACAAAAAAGCCCAAGTGAACAGCCCAGTATCACAGAGGGAACTAATACTGAATTCTGCAACAATCCAAACTTCCTGACCATTGTCTCTCCTGTAGCAAGATGATTTCCTTCACTGCACTGCCCAAAAGCTCTTCTTTTAATTGGAAATAGTGATTTCTTAATTTAGGTAGACATTTCAAAGAAAGAAAAATCCTTACCGCACCTAATGACCTAATCTTCAAGAATGGAGAAGAGCATTACAAGGGTTTCACCTGTGTTTCTTTTCATATGTTGTTAAACGTTTTAATGACTTTAAAAAAAAAAAAAAAACCCACCCTAGATAAGTACCTACAAACCAAGCATTCAGAAGGAAAATACAAGCCATACCCCCAGTTCCGGGCATCTAAAAGCTCAGGAAATCTGTAATCACTACTTTAACTACCCTTTGCAGTAAGGGGATGGTGACCCATGACCCAAGAAAGCACACTAAACAAATCTAGAAAAAGAGGGTGAGCTGCGTTTCAATCGATTTCAGATCAAGTCATCTGCCCTTTCAATCTTTTTCTACACTGGAGAAAAAAAAATAAAGAGCAATTTTGACAGCAACAACAGCTGTTAAAGCACTGCTAAACATAGATAAGAGTACATAGGAGCAAGCCATGCTCACCACCAATTCAGTTGCGCTTATCTGAATGATAATTTATTCTTACTTAGAATATATATACAAGGAACCACAGCTCCTGAGCCACTAGAATCCAAACTACAGTTAATGCTCTGGTGGGAGAGGCAAAGGGAGGAAGAACCTTCTATTATAAACAGCAGGCAACCGTAGGTGATCCAGTGTTATTGTATTTTATTTACAGGATATTGAAACTTGTTTCTTTAAAAAAAAAAAAAAAAACCTAGTAGGTTCAGATGCATTTAGAACCTCAACCTTCTACTTTTCTTTTATGAAAATATGAGTTCGCTCCATAATTTCTCATTTCTGAAGAATAAACTGACTTGAGCATAAAGTTTCCTCAGGAAAGCATACAAAACTCAATTTTCAATTCACTTCCAAAAACTGCAGTAGTTGAACTATATTAAGTCCCTGTTTTGAAAGAAAAATGTATTTGCCATATCCTCCAAAATGAAGCAAACACTCTAGCAGGTGCTAGATAACAAGCCAAGAACTGACATGAAGAGATTATCCAGTATTGGAACACTTACATATTATAATCCCTTTAAGTATATTAATAAAAATTAATATTTTGTGTATATTTATTATTTGGCTACTTAGTCAAGCTTGTACAACGAAGCAATGGCGGCAGCACACTCAAACCTGCCACCTTCTCCTCAAAGGTCACAAGGGATAGCTGTGCACTCATGGCCCATACACTCAAAAAGCTCTCCTGCTACCTACATGTAATCAGGCTTTTACAGCCTGAGTACCTATGTTCAGCTAGGACAAGGTGGTGGAGATTCAGGTACTTCTGCACGCACAGCCTAGCCTTTAGAAGTGGGGGCCACCCAACACCATAACCTGCAAGATAGGCCCTGAACAAGAGATCCGTCGTTCTCAACAAGAGACCTTAAGCCATGCAATATAATAGAGAACTGCTATGAAACCAAGTGTTCTAGAAAAGAGCTATTAAAAATGAGACTCAGATGTGATTCAAGTTGACTCACGCATCTCAGCAGTTCTCCCAGTTTGCTCTCTGCTCAGGTCCTCTTTGAAATATTTTCAAGACGTTTTGTGAGAAGTGACAGGAACGATCACAGAATCGCAGAACAGTTGAGGTTGGAAGGGACCTCTGGAGATCATCTCAGCCAACCCACTCTGCTCCAGCAAGGGGCCTCTAGAGCAGATTGCCCAGGATCACATCCAGGCGGGTTTTGAATATCTCCAGAGAAGGAGACTCCACTACCTCTCTGGGCAGCCTCTTCCAGGGCTCTGTCACCCTCACAGTGAAGAAGTTTTTCCTCAGGTTCAGATGGAACTTCCTGTGGTTCAGTTTGTGCCCGCTGCCTCTTGTCCTGTCTCTGGGCACCACGGAAAAGAGACTGGCCTCATCTTCTCGACACCCTCCCTTCAGATACTTGTAAATGTTGATGAGATTCCCCTCTCAGTCTTCTCTTCCCCAGGCTGAACAGGCCCAGCTCTCGCAGCCTTTCTTCAGAGGAGAGATGCTCCAGCCCTTTAATCATCTTTGTAGCCCTGTGCTGGACTCTCTCCAGGAGGGCCATGTCTCTCTTATCCTGGGCAGCCCAGAACTGGACACAGAACTCGAGGTGTGGCCTCAGCAGGGCTGAGGAGAGGGGCAGGAGCACCTCCCTCCACCTGCTGCCAATGCTCTTCCTGATGCAGCCCAGGATCCCATTGGCCTTCTTGGCCACAAGGGCACACTGCTGGCTCGTGGTCAACTTGCTGTCCCCCAGGACTCCCCGGTCCTTCTCTGCAGAGCTGCTTTCCAGCAGGTCAACCCCCAGCCTGTTCTGGTGCAGGGGGTTGTTCCTCCCCAGGCACAGGATCCTACACTTGCCTTCACTGAACTGCATGAAGTTCCTCTCGGCCCAACTCTCCAGCCTGCCCAGCTCCCTCTGAATGACAGCACAGCCTTCTGGTGTGTCAGCCATTCCTCCCAGTTTAGTATCATCAGCAAACTTGCTGAGGGTGCGCTCTGTCCCTTCCTCCAGGTCACTGGTGAACAAGATGAACAGCATTGCACCCAGCATTGACCCCTGGCTTACATCGCTAGCTACAGGCCTCCAACTCGACTCTGCGCCCTGAGCTCACAACCCTCTGAGCTCGGCCATCCAGCCAAGTTCTCAATCCACCTAACCGTCCACTCATCCAACCCACACTTCTTGAGTTTACCTAAGAGGATGTGATGGGAGATTCTGCGATCTTCATAGAATTACTGAGGTTGGAGTAAACCTCCGGAGATTGTCTAGTCCAACACTCTGCTCAAAGCAGGGTCAACTAGGTCAGGCTGCTCGGAGCTGTGTCAAGTCAGGATTTGAGTATCTCCAAAGACAGAGACTCTATGACCTCCTGAAGCAACTCATTCCAGGATTTGACCACCACCATAGTCAAAAAGCTTCTTCTTACGTTTGAGAGGATTTTCCTGTAATTCAAATTGTGCTCATTGCCTTTCATCCTGTCTCTGGGCACTACTGAGAAGATTCTGGCCCCATCTTCTTTACTCCCTCCCATAGGGTATTTATATATCTTGATAAGATCCCCCTCAAGCCTTCCCTTCTCCAGGCTAAACAGTCCCAGCTTTCTCAGCCTCTTCTCATATGTCTGACACGTCAATCCCTTAATCATCTTTATGGCCTTTGCTGGATTGCCCCAGTATATCCATGTCCTCCCAGAGCTGGACACAGTACTCGAGATGTGGTCTCACCAGGGCTGAAAAGAGGCGGGGAGGATCACCTCTCAACCTGCTGGTGATGCTGTTGGCCTTCTTTGTCACAAGAGCACATTGCTGTCTCATGTTCAAGGAAAACCAGGAAACCACAAGGAAACGCAGATCCTTCTCTGCAAAGCTGCTTTCCAGCCAGTCAGCCCCCGTCTGTACTGGTGCACAGGATTATTTTTCCCCCAGTGCAGGACTATTTCCCTTTGAACTTCATGAGGTTCCTCTCTGCCCATCTCTCCAGCCTGTCCAGGTCCCTCTGAATGCCAATACAGCCCTCTGCTGTATCAGCCACTCCTCCCACTTCTGTATCATCAGCAAACTTGCTGAGGGTGCACTCTGTCCCTTTCTCCAGGTCACTGATGAATATATTGAACAAGACTGGACCCAGGACTGACCCCCAGGGGTACAGGCCTCCAACTGGACTGCGCCATTGATCTCAACCCTCCGAGCTCTGCCATTCAGTCAGTTTTCAATCCACCTCACTGACTGCTTTTCTAGCCTGTACTTCATCAGCCTGCCTATGAGGCTAGTGCGGGAAACAATGTCAAAAGACTTGCTAAAGTCAAGACAAACAACATTCACTGCTCATCTGCTGACCTCGTCATCTCACTGTAGAATGCTATCAGGTCAGGCATGATCTCCCCTTTGTAAATCCATGCTGACTGCTTCCCATCACCTTTTGCCCTTAATATATTTGGAAATGGCTTCCAGAAGATCTGCTCCATCATCTTCCCAGGGATCAAGGTGAGGCTGACCTGTAGTTCCCAAGCTCCTCCTTCTTGAACGTGACATTTGCTTTCTCGCAGTTGCTATGGCCATTCAAAGATAATCAAGAGTGGCCTTGCAGTGACATTGGCCAGCTGCTTCAGCACTTGCAGGTGCCCCAGACTTCTGTATATCCAATCTTTTTCTATGTTCCCTGACCTAATCCCTCTTCCTCCAGTTTATACTTTTCCACCAGTCTCAGGGGCCTGGGATTCCTGAAGGCAAATCTGACCAGGAAAGATCAAGGCAAAGAAGGCATTCTTACCTCTGCCTTTTCTGTGTCCCCTGCTATATTCAGCAGCAAGCCTACATTGTCCTTTGTCCTCCTTTTGCAGTTGATATTCTTGAGCTTTATATCTTTTTGCCCTTCATGCCCCTTGCCAGATTCAATTCCAGGAAAGCTTTGGCTTTCTTAGCCACATCATCTCTGCATGCTTGGACAGTGTCTCTGTGTTCTGCCCAGACCATCTGACCTTGCTTCCACCTCTTCTATGATTCCTTTTTATGTTTGAGCATGCTTCTCCAGCATACTTTCTTATCTCCCCATGTTTTGGTTCACATGTAATTTCTCTAATTTCACTTAGAAAATGATCTTGTCCTATATCTGTATTTACATTTTGAACAATGACCTACTGTAAGCATTCTGTTTTACAAATTCCAGTCTGAATTTCAAGACACCTTCCATATTAAAAGAAATTTAGATTTTAAATTTTAGATCTTTGATCTGAAGTTCAACAGTATGCACAGTCACAACACCTCAACAGTTTATAAAAAATTCCTACCAGTTGTCAGAGTAGAAAATACTTTAGGAGCTCTAAACATTGCTTTGAAATTACCAACGTAGCAGAAAGCTTTTGAAACCTAGGACAACGCCTCAGTTCTATGCTCTTGGGAAATGCTATTCTAATTAATTATCATCAACAAAAACTTATTTGATATATAGTTTTACTTTTCCCTATGCCCCAAGCAAATCATTGCCTAGCACGTATTAACATTCTCTTCCAACTTTAACATAGGCAATGAGCTAGACCCTTTAACTTCCCCTCAGCTACACTGTGACAGTAGGCACAGAACTATTACTAGCTCTTCTATAGCTAAGAATATAATCAGTTCTTGAAAAAGAAACCAACTACCTCATATACAGAAAAAGCAGCACTTTCTCAAATTTAGAAAGTAAAAAGGTTTTGTACTTTTTCCTTACACTTCTAAGCTAATAACCCGAAGTGAGAGTAGTTGCATCTCAGACTTAATACCTTTGCTTTTGCTACCAGCAGAGCAGATACTTTACGAAAGACTAAACATAGAAATAACTGAATTTTAAATGAAAAACGCAAACTTACATTGTGCAGTTAGGAAACTGGGGGTGGGAGGAGATCAATACATACTTGTCCACTTGTCCTGCATTGTGATTGTTCTCTGCTCTCATCCGCGTCAACGCAGCAGCAGCTTCATCCAATGCACAGCTGACAGAGGACGTCAGTCTTCGGAGAACCTCAGGATCTGCGAAGGCTTTACCATCGGCAGTTGATAATTTACCAATTCCTTCAGTGTATGTTCGTTCATCAGTGAGGTTAGTATGAAAGTCACACAAAAGAAATGCAAAGACACCATTTTAGACTTCAGCCACATGCACTATTAGTTAAAAAATCATTTGCAAACATGCCAGAAAATCAGGTACTTAAAAATAACTGTTAACATTTGCCTATGATCTGAACGTTTAATTATACCATAGCAGCAGCAAAAATATTTTTCAATTGGCAGCTTCATCACCTGTCCCAAATTCTCAGCTCATATACCTTTAGGGATAGGGTGGGAGGGAAATCTCTGAAGGGACTAAGTACAAGTCCTGGGGTCAAGCCCAAAAGCAGAAGTTTGGGAAAGGGATACTAAGTCCACAGGCTTGGTTTAAGGTGAACAAGAATTTTACACTTCAAGTTTTAAAGTTATTTTTCCTTTCCTGCTTGACTCCACCCAAAATAAAGTAGATTTAGTCTAATATACTTTTTTTGCCCCCTCTTTTTTCATAAAGCTTATTAGCTTTACTTCCCAGTAGTTTACAGTTCTAAAATGCAGAGACCCAGCTACAGGCACAGCAAATTTGAAACGAAAATTTCAAATATTTGAAGCATATTCGAAATAAAATCCTCTCTATACTAACATTACACTATGCAAGCAGAAATGATTAGCCTGAATGAACTTTTGTAATAGTTCCTCCTTCAAAAAGAGTTTCTTTGCTGCCATACTAAAGTTGCAGGCCCACAGAGAATAGCATCATAAGTAGGTATTTATCTCAGTCATTGAAATTGCACTTAAATGGCAAAAGCGTAAGTTTTTTCACAGCTGATATAAAATTATGGCACATCTGAGCAGTGTTCTTACTCCACTAGTTTGTTATACCTTTGAACACTTTCAGAGCTAAAGGTCAGTCTATTTTACATATGTAAACATCACAGGACAGGTGTGTCTGCAGTGTAGGCACAGCTTACATTTGCATATACAAGTGTGCAAAAAGTGTAAAGAAATACACAAGGGAATTAGATTAGCTGCCTTCATCAGTGATGAATCACTAACTTTTCAATTCCTTTATTCCTTAGCAGTTACACAGGATTAAATTATATATAACCCGGGGGGGTGGGGGGGGGGCATCTTACTACCTCAAAAGATTTGCTATTTGGTATGTGCACCTCTGCAAGACTGATTTACATCATGTTTTCCACTTCCCAGTCTGTAATCATTACAGTATAAAAACTGAAAATATACCTTGTAAATTTTGAATGCTCTTCAGGCATGCATGTCCCCTGTTTGAGACTGTCCAATTAATTTGTCATTAATGTAAAAATCAATACTTGTGAACTTTCTCCACCCTGAACAGCATATCCCAGGCATACTTTGTTACATAACCCTGTATCACTGTTGCAACTCTGATCAAAGTGTCCGCTTGAAGTATTCAAACTTAACATTGCTGATAAAAATGAGGAATCCCCACCCCTATCATTCAAGTGATACATCTATGATGAGGTGCAAAAAGTTTACTTAGCTGACTGAAATGAAGCAGCACAGGCTACCGAGGTCGGGAAGACTTGCTTAAGATACTTGCTCAGAACCAAGTGTGTTACCTCCCTGGCTCCAAAACCCTATCTGGATGACTTGGGCATTGTCAAGAGGTTAAAAAAAAAAAAAGAAAATTAAAATAAATCATCCACTCCACAATCAAATGAGAAACTATGACTAGATTCTATGTACACCACACCTCTATCAGCTGAAAGGAAGAGTTATTTTTCTAAGCCATAAGAAAGTAAGCTTTTTTCTTGAAGATCAAGAACATTTCTATGGTTTTCACAGAATCTCTGAAGAGAGACGAGCGTAAGGCCGTCTGATGTCTGTATCCTGCTAGGACTCACTCTGCTTTACAGCGCAGTTCCAGCATTTTTGACTGAGGACAATCAGACCAAGGAAACAGAGCTAGGGACTCTCTACTCCTTTATTTACAACACTTGAAGAGGCTACTGGCTGCTTGCTCCCTTCCGCCTCCAAACTCTTGGGGTCATAACCTTTTTAAGCCACTGCTACTAAATATAGTAGCGAGGCTATAAATAACAACCCTCAAACACCACAGCTCACACCTCACACATGAACGTAAACTGAATTTGTTGTTAGTTTGGAAGAGGATATAAGTTGCAACTTCTCAAGAGCAGAAGCAGACACCCCTGTGACTGTGGCACTCCTCTCTAGCAGAGGGGTATAATAATTGTGAAACTGGACTGGGGAATTGATTAAATCTAGTACTGAGCATGAAGAAAAAGTGGTAGTTTTCAGACAGATCTGCTTCCCTGGTACAGCTCACAGAGTACCTACACAGATGTTTATGCCAGCTACTTCTGGTGGCAGTGTTGGCTTATGTTAGCTTACGGTGTATGTAAGAGTACTAACTAAGGGGAAAAAAAATAAATAAATAAAGGAATTAAGTCTTCTCAACTCAGCTCTGAGGCCTCATCTAGGACTACTATAACCAAATCTGAACACCACATTAAGCAAAGTAGAAAAGTACAGGAGAGAAATCCACAGGATTTAGAAAAATATGACCCCTGAGTAAAGGCTGAAGGGACTGGATTTAGTTTACAAGCAGCAGCACAACAGCAGTTTTCCTGTACTGCAAAAGGATCTTATGAAGGAGACAGTAATCAGTTCTTTAATGCTCACCAAAAAAAAAAAAAAAAGAGAAACAAAAAGAAGTCAGGTAAAAAAAAAAAAAAAAAAAAGAAATGGCTATCTGAAACTAAACAGGATATCTGAATCATTTCAAGTCTTTAAGGTAGTAAAACAGATTACCTAAGCAGGTCATAGAATTAATCTTCCTCTGTACATCAAGAAGCGATTAGATGAGAGATCTGCAACAGAAATTTATATGCATGTGATCCTGCCCTTATATGGTGTGAGGGATTGCCTCGGTCTCTTAGGCCAGCTCTCTTCTAGTCTTAAGTTTATAGATTCTGGTTAGCCCCTAAGAGGAAAAGCTGTTGGATGTAATCACAATGAGGTATAAGCAAGCAGAAACTACACTTGACGAGTCTCTCCATTTTCAATGTTTGCTCTTTAAAGCACTCATAGGCAGCACTTCTAAAGCCAAAAGTCACACCACAGATCTACCATGTCCTCCTATATCCTGTGAAGAGAAACAAACTACTATTGCTGCAGAGCTCCTGCTCTACAGTATCTACTTTCATAGATTATTAGAGGCGTTCTCTTGGAAGGCTTCCCACCCACTGGCTCTTCCTTCCAGCTGTTAAGTCACAGCGACAGCGCACTTAAGTTCCCGACTTCATTCCAAAAAAGCTACTGTAACCACACCAAGAACAAAGGTGCAAGTTAAAGCAGCCGTTTGTTCACAGCACCAGCTAAGACTCAATCAGGTGCCAATATAGGTTATAACTTCGTACCACTTTTCCATGGCAAAACACTCTGTCAGATGCTCTGCTCCTCAAAACCTCACGAGAAACCGTGTGAAGAACCAAACCACTTTTTTTGTACCTTTCCAAGCTAACTGACAACAACAGAAGACAGCAGAGCAGACATTTGTTAGGCTGCACACAGTACAAAGCAGACAGACTACAAGAATTACCAAACTGGATCCTGCTACTGCAGACACCCATTTATTTATTCTCCTTTTGCAAACTTACAGCACCCTCTAAATAATTGCTCAGATTTTGCTTCACTGTGGTTTAGGATGACTATGGCAGAATCTTACTGCTGCAACGCTCAGTCATCTTCCAACCTTGAACGTAACTGTTCTCGGGTCTGCTTAATAACCGCTTGTTCTTGTGTCACACTCCCAGGTGGTTAAGCCCGCCCATATACATGTGCAAAGGTTGGACAGTAGCAATCAGATCTGGTATGGTTCTACAAGACCAAACCTTTTATAGTCTCCCCCCATCCAATGAATAACAGAAGCATCCTCAAGACTCACAGTTCTCCACAGTTGTTTGGATTCATTTTTCTTGCCCACAGGCAACTACAATTTTCTACATTATTACAGTCTTACTAGTATATTATGGGTTCACAAGAAATACTAAGGGCATCTGGCACTACCTAAACTGATAACTACTTGTCTGAGCAGAATATTTCACATTCTCCTTCTTACTGTGATACAATAGCACATTTTTAGGAATGAAAGACATCAAGGATGTTGTGTAAATCTGTTTTTTCATGGATTGATCACTGTTGCAGGCTAATAACTCTGCAAAGAGAACTTGGGAGTCACTGTGGGTAGTTCTTTATCTAGAGCAATCTACAGTCAGTAGTGAGATGAAGAAAGTGACATTCTCAATGCAAAATTACAAGTCACCACTAAAATTGCAAAGAGCTTGTTTATAAGTAAATTTAAAGAAAGTATTTGCATACAACATGCAATCAAGGTTTGGAGATCATTGCCATGGGATGTTACAAAAGCCAAAAAGAGTGGATTTGAAAACAGCTTAGAAAGCTTTATACCGATATTAAATACAGCAGCCCAGCCACTGAGTGACTCAGGATATTCCTGAATAACAGACTACTGGAAGAATGCAGAAAGGAAGGACTGCCATCTGTACTGTTTTTACAGCTTTCCCCTTAAGTGTTTACAGCTAGTCAACTCGAGGATGCAGGGAGCTAGACACATCTTTGGTCTGATACTGTAGGACAGTTCTTTTTTTCAGCATTTTTTACTGAAGCGATTTGCTAACGCGTCTGCGTTAGCCTGGCAGAGGCAAGGCCAGTGGCATTATGCGACAACAGAAACAAAAGCTCTTAATCACATTCTCTTCTGATTAGAAATAAATGACCTTGCACCTCCCCATTTTACCTATCAACATACAGACTGTGGATCTCCAAAATAAAGAGGAAAGTACCTAGTATGCCAAGAAAACAGTTCAGAATTCCAGGATCTACGTACAGATGAGTCCTTCCACAAACTCTGAGCATCAGCCATCTATTACACAGCATACAGGTTCAAGGTGCATCTGAAAAGGGACTTTCTGCCAGTTTAACAAGTCAACAACTTAACAGCT